GGAGGGCTGCAGTGATGGTTGACTTTCTTTGACTTTCTACAACTTTCTCCCATCTCCCGACTGCATCTCTGGAGCTCAGCCACAGTCATCTTTGGGTTCTTCTGTACCTCTCTCACCAAGGCTCTTCTCCCCTGGTAGCTCAGTTTGGCCGTACGGCCAGCTCTAGGAAGGGTTCTGGTCGTCCCAAACGTCTTCCATTTATGGATTATGGAGGCCACTGTGCTCTTGGGAACCTTAAGTGCAGCAGAAATTTTTTTGTAACCTTGGCCAGATCTGTGCCTTGCCACAATTCTGTCTCTGAGCTGTTCAGGCAGTTCCTTTGACCTCATGATTCTCATTTGCTCTGACATGCACTGTGAGCTGTAGGGTCTTATATAGACAGGTGTGTGGCTTTTCCTAATCACGTCCAATCAGTATAATCAAACACAGCTGGACTCAAATGAAGGTGTAGAACCATCTCTGGGATGATCAGAAGAAATGGACAGCACCTAAGTTAAATATATGAGTGTCACAGCAAAGGGTCTGAATACTTATGACCATGTGATATTTCAGTTTTTCTTTTTTAATAAATCTGCAAAAATGTCAAAAATTCTGTGTTTTTCTGTCAATATGGGGTGCTGTGTGTACATTAATGAGGAAAAAAATGAACTTAAATGATTTTAGCATATGGCTGCAATATAACAGAGTGAAAAATTTAAGGGGGTCTGAATACTTTCCGTACCCACTGTAGGCCCAAGTTACTTCATCATGTACTAAATGCCTCAATATCAAGCTCTGTAATCCATATTGTACAACACTACATTAAGGGATCACAGTTTCATATTTGTAAACAAAAAGTGGTCACATCACTGTTGAAAGCAATCTCGAACGGGGTCGTGGGGAGGCTGGAGCCAATCCCAGTTGGCATCGGGTAAAAGGCGGGGTACAGACTGGACAGGTCGCCGGTTCATTGCAGGGCCCATCCCTGTTCTAGGTGTTGCAGTTTGTTCTGTTATAAATGATGGCATCCCTGTTCAATGCTATGCAGTTTTTTAATTAGAACCTGAATGCATTAGTAGAATGCAGTTTGTGCTGTAATAAGTGATAACATCACTGGCCAAAGCATGCTGTTTGTACAACAGTAACTGAATGCATCTTCAGTCAAGGCAATTCAGTTCGTACAACAGTAAGTGAATGCATCACTGGTAAAAGTATGCAGTCTGTACAACAGTAAGTGAATGCATCACGAGTCAAAGCAACACAGTTCACATTAGTAAGTGAACGTATCACTAGTCAAAACAATACATTTAATATAAAAGTAAGCCAGTAAGTGAATGCATCTCTGTGCAAATCTGTGCAGTCAGTACTTAAGTAACTGAAAGCATCACCACTCTCAGCACTAGGTTATACTTTCTACACCAGTGAGTGTTTCACTGTTAGAAATTCATAATTCAACTTTTAAAAAGCCCCCCTCACCCACCCTCAGTCATTTTGTTACCAGGCTGCAATTTGTATTATAAGTGAGGGCATCATCATTCAAAGCACACCATTTGTGATGATATCACTTAGGATGATAAGCATAGGAGATTACTGGGCAGCACTTTATGCAACAAGCATGACAAACTGGTGATGATGATGTATGCTTTCTTTCCTCCATACTACTACAACAACTACTACTACTACTAATAATAATAATAATAGTACTGACAGAACAAGCTAAAAAATATATGTAAAAGCATCTTCTATAAGATCTATAAGATCTCATTCAAAGGAATCAGGGCTAAAGTAACTGTGGTAATGCAACTAAAAGGGGCTGAGGGGTCCTAAAGGTGTGGCCCTGTTTTGTTTTATTTGTTTAGTTTTTTTTTAAGTCACTGTGGATTAATTTATGTTAAATGTTAAAGATGAAAATATAACTCTATTGCGATATCTGTGGTCACTGACCTCCTGGTAAGTAATGTGGTGTCTGCATTACACTATTCCTTCTTAATATCATTCAGAAAAATGATTTGTTGCATAGTCATCCTGTTTACTACCATCCCACAATGGATTTTCCAGCTGTTATAAATAACCAAAACAACATCTCTGCTGTGCAGAGCAGGAGGAGGGCATTCCACAGTGTAGATACCTTGTCATTTGTTAGTACAGGTTTTTTCTGCTATAAAAATACATTTTTTCAGTAAAATTATTGCATAGGTACAACTGTTACTACTATTATTACCTTTCTCCTATTACACTAATAAGGAATTAACATAATTCTAAAATCATTTTAAGACTTGTTAATGGTTACTGGTATTCATTTTATTTCACCTCCTAATTTTGTATGTCGAGCAAATGAGACGTCAATGAACTGAATATGTTTTACATATTTATATGTTCCAGAAGAGCTGCATCCATGTCTTTGTTCTCCTGGTTCTTCACTCTGTGGCACTCATCAGCCTCGTCCCTGCTCCTTGTGGGGCTTGTGGGCAGACAGCTGGGGCTCAGGGTGGGACTGCAGGTGGCTCAGACTGCGACGTGTTCTCGGTGGAGTACACCGAGTGACCAGGGTCTGTTTCAGGACGGAGATGTAGTTATTGGTGGGCTCTTTAATATTTATAACAAGCCTTCAGCTATAGATCATGACTTCACTCAGCTGCCACAGTACAAATCCTGCACTGGGTAAAACTCTGAACTACATTGTTTACTGCAAATACCACAAAATACCCATATATGTAAAGCCTCTTAGCTATGCAGTTAAATATTGGTAGCTCTGTAATGTATACATATACACTTTTTTAAATAAATTTGTTGTTATACTTGTTTATCTATTGAAGAAGGAAAGTAATTACATAGAGATTTTTAAAGTTATCGCAATTGCATCAAAATTTTGACTAATACTTCACTGATTTCTCTCAATTCTTTTCTCTGTGGTCACAGTTTGGAAAATCTTCCATTACAGTATGTGTATGCTATGGTGTTTGCACTGGAGGAAATCAACCATAGTACAACACTGCTACCGGGTGTGAAGCTGGGTTACCGTATTCATGATAGCTGCGCCTTTCCCCTGTGGGCTGTGCAGGCAGCACTGTCACTAGCTGCAGGAAACAGCACCAGCTGTAACTCAGCAGCCCTGCCAGAGTATTCTGCTGGGTATGGAGAGGAAATCAGCAATAGCCAAGGTACAAATCTATCTAAGTAAGTATATAAATGTAAATATAATTGAAGGAAATGTGTTACCCTGTACAATGAAATTCTTACTTTACCATCCACATAAATGCCACACAATACAAGTGAAATATAAAGTAGATAAGCAGGTAACGCAAATCTAATCCACTTTAAAGCAGCAAATGAAATAATAAAAATACAACAAGAACTGATGATAGTATAAACACTGCATTTACTGCATCTGAAACAAAACCAAGCACACATGATGAGGAAAAGATTTCATTTCATGATATTTTATAATGTCCTCAGGTGATCAGCCTGTTCCTTTAATTATTGGCGGTGACTCATCTATAACAGCCCAGATACTATCCAGAATCCTGGGGCCCCTCTCTGTGCCTCTAGTAAGTTTCATTAAATCGCTTTTTTGAATATATAAAACATGTTTAAATGGAAATTAGGTTCCACTTAATCAATTGAATCATTGAAAAACTGGGTTTTCACCTTTGAAACACTGTAGTTTAATATTGACCATTTATATAGATTTTTTAAATGTAGGCTAAGTTCATTCTCTTTATTTTTTGTCAAATATTTTTCTTTCCATTTCTATTATATGAAGCATAGGCTGTAGTTTGCTGTCCTCATAATAAAAGTAAAATATGTATGGTAAACTGCAGCAGTAAACATATTCTTCTTGGATTAGAAAACATAACATCATTTATTACAGCAGTTTTCAGAATATATATGTTTGTATCTGTTTTTGTCTTTTAGATGAGCTACACAGCTAGCTGCCCCTGTCTTAGTGACAGACACCAGTTTCCTAACTTCTTCAGGACTATACCCAGTGATATTTACCAAGCTTGGGCCATTGGCCGGCTTGTCATACACTTCAAATGGACCTGGATTGGAGCTGTGCTCGAAAACAGTGATTACGGCCTAACAGCAATAAAGGTGCTTCCATTTGTTTTTATATTAGTTGCACGAGCTATTGTTGACTTTTATATAAGAAATCTACATACATACAATGTTTATATACTTTTCATTTATCTAGTTCTTTTGTTACTTTCAAATGTATATGTCAGATATTTCAGGAGGCGACTCAGGGGGCAGGAGTCTGTCTGGCATTTGTAGAAACTCTCAACAGGGAAAACATTGTGAGTGAAGTCAGAAGAGCAGCCCTCATAATTCAGGCCTCGACTGCAAGAGTGATTCTTGTATTTACCTGGTATACAGATGCGAGGGAACTGTTTGTGCAACTAGCCAAGATAAATGTGAGAATAAACCTGTTTACTGAACTTGTAAATAACACAAATTTAAGATAAATCACAGCTTCTTAAATTTATTTTGTGATCATGCTGTGTTGCAATCACTAGGTGACTGACAGACAGTTTCTGGCCAGTGAGGCTTGGAGCACTAGTGGTGACCTTCTCCAAAGTCGTGTCACAAGTCAAGTGGCAAGTGGTGTTGTTGGTGTTGCCATTAGAAGTTCAACTATACCTGCCTTTGAAAATTATATCAGAAGTCTCAACCCATCTCACCGTCCTGATGACAAGTTCTTAAGAGAGTTTTGGGAAAAGGTGTTTGGTTGTAGTCCTGGAGCCACACCTTTATCTTCAAATGCCTCTTCACCACCTTCTCTTGCAAGCACATTGCTTCAAGAAGCTTCTCTACCTCTCTGCAATGGCACTGAGTCCCTGGAGGGAGTGCAGAATCACTTTACTGACACCTCCCAGTTAAGGGTGACATATAATGTCTACCTTGCTGTTTATGCTGCAGCCCACGCCCTTCACAGTCTTCTGTCCTGCTCCCATAGAGAAAACTCTCCTGAAAAGAACACCTCTACATGCTACTTTCCAAAACACATCAAACCTATAGAGGTAAACACAATTTCAACACGAGATATGGTAGACTTTCATAACCTATGCTTGTATATATCTAGGAGATTGCTTTTGCATTTGTCACATACAAACACATGCACTAATACTGCTAATCTACTCTGTGTGAAGCATTTAGTGTTTTACTATTCTGATGTTTTCAGTTATTACAATACTTGAGCAACTTGAACGTCACCACACCACAAGGGGACCTATTTTATTTCCATGGTGCAGACATTCCAGCTAAGTATGACCTTGTCAACTGGCAGAAGACCCCTGAGGGGTCACTGAAACTTGTTTTGATTGGTCATGTGGATGGGTTTGACATCCACCTTAATGAGTCAGCTATTCAATGGAGCACAGGATCCAATCAGGTCATCAAAAAAGAAGAATCTACTACTGAAATATCTTTTGAATTAAATATTTATTGTGATTCACAGGACATTGTACATGTTGATAATATGGTTTTATATGTTATGCAGATCCCTGTTTCAGTGTGCAGTGAGAGCTGCCCCCCAGGTACCCGAATGGCCAACAGGAAAGGGGAACCTGTCTGTTGCTTTGACTGTATCCCATGTGCTGAAAGGGAGATTAGCAATAAAACTGGTGAGGAAATTATTCCATATGATAGGAGATACTCATATTTGTGATGCTTAATTTTTCCCTTTGTGTTATGCTCCATCTTTCTTCCAGATTCTCTTCAATGTGAACGCTGTCCACCTGAGTTCTGGTCCAATGTTGAACGAACTGCCTGCATCCCTCGCCAGCTGGACTTCCTTTCCTTTGATGACGCTTTGGGTATTACCCTGACTACAACAGCTGTGTCGGGCGCCATGGTGACAACAGCTGTGTTTGTGGTGTTTCTTTACTACCGTCAAACACCTGTGGTGAGAACCAACAGTAATAGGGTAGATACTACACTGCATGGTTTCTGTAAATTCTATTTAGTATGTCGGCTTTACTGTGTTATCTCAAATACTGATTTAAAGCAGTGGCTCTTAAACCCCTTACGTCAAGCTGTTCCCTCTTGCTTTCACTGTGGCATAGCTTAGTATTAATTTGATTTACTGTATAATAATCCTATTCATATTTTAATATTTTTTTCAGGTAAGTAACATTTTAGTGTCAGTCTGTCTCCTGTCCAGTTAGTTACCAAGTAAGATATTTTTTCGGCCAGGTATCAGCCAAAGCCATATTGCGTAGGCAGGATATTCATTAAACAGCATTATCAGAGTCACCACATCCAGCTAGGTGCTACTGACCCTTAGCACTCTGAAACAGAGGTGGACAGTAACTAAGTATATTTAATCAGTACAGTCCAGGGTATATAACATTAGCACCACCTTTACCAGCTACAACATGGGATGTATATATTAATTCATCAGCGGAAACTATGCTATTTTGCATAATAAGTACTTTTACTTTTGGTACTTTAAGTATATTTTATGCTAATACTTTAGTACTTTTACTTAAGTAACATTTTGAATACAGGACTTTTGCTTATATGGGGCAGCACGGTGGCACAGTGCTTAGCGCCGTTGCCTCACAGCGAGAAGGTTCCGGGTTCGGGCCCCACCTGGGACCTTTCTGTGTGGAGTTTGCATGTTCTCCCCGTGCTTGCGAGGGTTCTCTCCGGGTACTCCGGCTTCCTCCCACAGTCCAAAGACATGCAGCTTAGGTTGATTGGTGTCTCTAAATTGCCCATAGGAGTGCATGTGCGTGTGTGTGGTTGTTTGTCTATGTGTTAGCCCTGCGATGAATTGGTGCCCTGTCCAGGGTGTACCCTGCCTTTGCCCGATTGCCGGCCGGGATTGGCTCCGGCCCCCCACCGTGACCCCGCTCAGGGACCAAAAGGTAGAAAATGAATGAATGAATGAATGAATGACTTTTCATTGTAGCAGAGTATTTTTACACTGTTCTGAAATGCAACAGACAACCAGGGAAAGTACACACCATGAGTCTCTATCAATTAACCAGATGTACTTCAAAAAACCAGCAACACAAAACACCATCCTCACTGTCAACAGGTTGACTACAGCATGAATAAAATAAGGAGAACTCACGAGTGATCATTTCAAGTATGATTAGCAGAACAGCTGCACACCACAATGCTAGTTTCTTGTTATTGTCCCTCTCACAAACACAGAGAAATGCACATACAAACAGATTTTTCATTTACCAGGCTCTGTGTGTTTCTCAAAGATGTCCTGTTCAGCTCCATGTTCAAGACAATGAATTACTCTGTCTCCACGTGCTTTGTTTCAAATGACAAAGTAATATAGCTGTAATATTTTCTCTTTCTCTCACATTCAACATCAGCAACAAAATTATTACCAATTATTACAGTGCCTCATGGATTTTCCATCTATCCATCCTTTATCTTTACCACTTAACCTGAACAGGGTCTTGGTGGTGGTGGGGTGTGGGCCACTGGGGGGCTGGAGCCAATCCCAGCTGACACTGGGCAAGAGGCAAGCTACACCATGGAAACAGACAACCACACTCACTCCTATGGGCAATTTGGAGTCACTAATTAACCTAAGATGCCTGTCTTTGGACTGTGGAAAGAAGCCGGAGTACCCAGAGAGAACTCACGTTGGCACAGAGAGAACATGCAAACTCTGCACTGAAAGACACTGGGTTGGCCTGGTCTCAAACCCAGAACCCTCTTGTTGTGAGCCAACAGCACTAACCACCTTAAATAAACAAAATACTGAGGGAAGAATGAGAACATCAGCCCTTTGTAGTCACTAGGCATAACTAACCAACTGGTGCATAATTAATTACCTGGCCGAAAACAATCTGCATTACTTTTTTAATTGCTTTTCTGCACTTTTCTTTGCATTACTGACCAAATTATTGAACAATACAAAGCTAGTTTCTCTATAAATGAAAAATTCTGCTATGGAAATAATCCATTTTTTCCTAAGTGTGTTATTTTTACCCTTTACACATTCACAGCACCACTAAATATACTTGCTCCTTCAGTGCCCACCTTTAGCATCCTAACATCCCCTCACCTCTGCCAGCCTTTCACCACCCCCTCACAGTCTCTGAATGGTCACAGGGGGGTGGTACTACCCTTGTGGTGAATCACTAATCTAAAATAATATGATTTTACCTTGAGCTGGTATAGTGTTTGTTCATCGAATACCTTTGTTACCTGAATTCCTATTTCAAGGTACGAGCCAACAACTCAGAACTGAGCTTTCTGCTTCTTCTGTCACTGAAGCTCTGCTTCCTGTGCTCACTGGTGTTCATTGGTCGTCCATCAGACTGGTCTTGTTGGCTCCAGCAGGCAGCATTCGGGATCAGCTTTGTTCTTTGTGTTTCCTGCCTCCAAGTTAAAACCATAGTTGTTCTTGCAGCATTTCGTTCAGCTCGGCCTGGTGCTGAAGCCTTGATGAAATGGTTTGGTCCAGGCCAACAGAGAGGAAGTGTCTGCCTCTTTACCTTTATACAGGTCAGAGCTGCAGATACAATTTTTAAATAAAAAATGTATTCCTTGTTACAGCATTTTACATATATTAACCTGACACTATGCAATGCTCTTTTTTTTCATCAAGGTTATCATCTGTATTATTTGGCTAACGCTCAGCCCCCCAGTACCTCAACCTGACTTGGATACCCCAGGGTTAAAAGTCACCTTGAAGTGTGCCATGGTCTCTGTGCTGGGCTTCTCTTTGGTCTTAGGCTACATTGGCCTGCTGGCCTGCACCTGCCTGCTCTTGGCCTTTCTTGCTCGGAAACTTCCGGATAATTTCAATGAAGCCAAACTGATCACCTTCAGCATGCTGATCTTCTGTGTTGTCTGGGTGTCTTTTGTTCCTGCTTATGTTAGCTCTCCTGGAAAATATGCAGTTGCTGTGGAGATTTTTTCAATTCTCACTTCTAGCTATGGTTTACTGCTTTGTATCTTTGCTCCAAAATGTTTCATCATTCTTTTGAGGCCTGAGAAAAACACTAAGAAACACTTGATGGCCAGATAGCAATGGGAGTTAGCAACATATGCTATGACTTAAAAATGAGTGATATAAATCAAACAGCCATTGCAAGTAATATAATATATCATATCTTTATCAATATGAATGCATTTATTTAATTTTTATCATTGGATAAAACAAACCTTTTTTGTAAATTACCTAATATGGGACACATTGTAACCTAAAATATCAGAATAATCCATTTTTTCTTCTATCTGTGGTACATTACTTAATGATTCCTTCAAGTTTTATTGTGCATACATTATAGCATCAGATATAGTGTCTATATAGATGACTGATTAGTTTTTTGTTTTTCTTTTTTTTTATCTTATAGTATTGCTGCTTTCTTTCTTTATTAAAATAAAAGTAACCGGCCACGACCTAAGCATGTGGAAAAAATTAGTATGAATTGTCAGTAAAAGTAAATATGTTGAATTCTTTTGTATGACTGCAAAACAAAAGATAATGCTGCAGTCCTTTAATGATATAAAATAAATAATATATTACTTTCTTTCTTTCTTCTATTTTAGCCACAGGATCTGGTAAATAAAACAAGTTTAAAGGAAATGATATCAAATCAGAATCACCTTTACTGGCCAGGTGTGTTGGACACATGAGGAATTTGACGCTGCTCTCAATGTGCAATGTTCTTCCATAAGGCAACGAGGAAAAAAGATAAGACTGAGAAGAAGAAAAGAAGAATAATGTGCAAGCAAGAAAAAGGAATGTGCATTAGGAAAATAAAAATAAAGTACATATAAAATATATGTTCATTTACAAACAGTTTAGATGGAAGTTTTCAGATAGATATATAAAAAAGTATATTTACAAGCCATTCCAATGAGGGTTATCATTCTGTTATACAGTCATGGGTTAAGTGTTCATCATAGTGATGGGGGAAGAAACTGTTCTTGTATCTGACTGTTGTGTACAGTGACCTGTAGGGCCGTCCAGACACAAACTGTTTGTGTCTAGGATGTGAGGGGTCTACAGAAATCAAGTGTAATATGAATTACAAGATGCTTTTGATATTAGTTAAACTATTGTTAAAACTCCTACAGCAGAGATAAAACATAGAGAGAACAGTGAGTTTACATATTTGTGTTGTCTTTCCATGTGCTCCATATTGCTCTCCAGATGGCATAGTGCTGGCCTCTAGCACTGCTGTGAGGAACCTTGGAGTCATTTCTGACTAGAATATGTCCTTTAAATCATACATAAACCAAGTTTCTAGAACTGCCTTCTTTCACCTGCACATTATCAACAAAATCAGGAACTTCAAGTCTCAAAGTGATGCTGAAAAACCGGTCCAAACATTTGTTACTTCCAGGCTGGACTATTGTAACTCTTTACTCAGGAGGATCAGGATGTCCAAATAATTCCATAAAAAGCCTCTAGTTAATCCAAAATACTGCAACCAGAGTACTGACAGGAGCTAGTAAGAGAGATCCAAGTTCTCCCATATTGGCTTCTCTCCACTGGCTCCATGTAAAATCCAGAATGGAATTTAAAATCCTTCTCCTAACATACATACTAAGCTCTTAATTACAAGGCTCCATTGTATCGATAGGTGGATAGATGGGTGGAATCATCTTAAAGAGCCCGTGGCATACTCATTTTGCTCATTTACAGCCATTTATTTTTTTATCTTGTTTACCTCTAGATGATCTTAGCACCCATCATAACTCCAAATAGTCAGTAATTATTTCAGAACAATAAAATCAGAGAGCTTCTTCCTAAAAATGAGAGGATAGTTCATGAATGTACACACTTCCTGCTGCCGGTGTTGTGTTGAAAGTGGACAGCACGACAAACTGCAATGGCATTAATTAATTAGAATTTCTCCTCCATAAATAGGTAAACAGCAATATTAATGTACAGATGAAAAGAGATGTTTAACACTCTAAACAAAACATGTAATTGAGAAAGCCCATGATTTAACTGACCCAGGGGGCTTCCTTGGCCAACTGCTTGTAGGTTAGACCCAGTCAGGTAAAACAATGAGTCCCTGTACAGGAACATTCCCGGACATGCAGTAACCTCAGGCCCTGTATTTTTCTCCACATCCTCTGGTCACAGTGCAGCAGGAAGTAAAATACTGTATATCCACATAACTGTGTGCAGTTGAAAAATTCTGCTTTTTCGATGTCACTCGTGGATGTCAAGCAAGCTCACATGAACACGCAACTGCCTGGATTTTATGACCATTCAACGAAATCCATGAACTATCACGTAATACGTTTATTGTTAGAAGAAATGTCTCGTGAGCAAGAGTTTGCGAAACTTATATAAATAGAGGTGCTTCTGCATAGAAGTACTAGAACATACTGTATGTACAACTCTTTTTTTTAGATCACGTCTAAGATTATAATCTCCAACATTGTAGATAAGTCAAAAAACAAGGAAAAGCATGCCATGGGCTCTTCAATGAACTTTGACTAAAAATTAAATGGGGTTATGCACCCAAGATTGGCCCTGGAGGTATGGGCCTGATTTTCTTTTATTTTATTTTATTCGGTCACTCTAGTTGAATTTATCAACTAAGCATTATTTAAAGATGGGAAAAAAGAAAAAAATTACTTTATTGAGATATCTGTGGTCACTGCCCTCCAGGTAAATACTCTAAACTGTCTGTATTACACTAGTAATTTTGTTATTATTTTGCTCTCTTTTTTCAGGGGAATGATTTTGTGCTGTTTCATCCTGTTTACTACCATCCCACCATGGGCTTTCCAACGGTTATAAATATCCAAACCAGCATCTACTCTGTGTCGGGCAGAGCACAAGGAGGGTATGCCAGAGTTTAGATACCTTGTCAGTTGTTAGTGCAGATTGTATCTGTTATAATTCACATTTTGTTATTAAAGGTTTTTACAGGTTGAACTCTTACTACTGCTTTTACTTTTCTCCTGTTAGATTAAGAAGGATTTAACTGAATTTACTCATTTAATTTTAACACATCTTAATAGTCATTTGCATTCAATTTATTTTGTGTCTTAATTTTGTATGTTGAGCAAATCAGATATCAGTGAATTGAGTATGTTTTACATATTTAAAGGTTCCAGAAGAGCTGCATCCATGTCTTTGTTCTCCTGGTTTTTCACTCTGTGGCACTCATCAGCCTCGTCCCTGCTCCTTGTGGGGCTTGTGGGCAGACAGCTGGGGCTCAGGGTGGGACTGCAGGTGGCTCAGACTGCGACATGTTCTCAGTGGAGTACACCAAGTAACCAGGGTCTGTTCCAGGATGGAGATGTAGTTATTGGTGGGCTTTTTAGAATTTATAACAACCCTCCGGCTTTAGATCACAACTTCACTCAGCTGTCACAGTACAAATCCTGCATTGGGTAAAATTCTGAACTGCACTGTTCACCATGAACACTGTATAATGCATTTAGTTATATTTAAAGCATTACAGCTGTAGCTTTTCTATTCCCTTTTCAGTTTGCTCACATATAAATTTTCTTCTTAAAAGTATTTTGTTATAATTGCATATTCATTGATGACACAAAGTAACTGCAGAATTAGTGATTACATATATACATTTTTACAACTTAGTAACTAAACTAAAATTTCTTTCATTCCTTCTCTTCTGTGGTCTCAGTTTGGAAAACCTTCCATTACAGTATGTGTATGCTATGGTGTTTGCACTGGAGGAAATCAACCATAGTACAACACTGCTACCAGGTGTGAAGCTGGGCTACCGTATTCATGACAGCTGTGCCTTTCCCCTGTGGGCTGTGCAGGCAGCACTGTCACTAGCTGCAGGAAACAGCACCAGCTGTAACTCAGCAGCCCTGCCAGAGTATTCTGCTGGGTATGGAGAGGAAATCAACAATAGCCAAGGTACAAATCTTTCTAACCTATGTAAAATGTAAACAAATTGATGAAAGTATAAATGCACTAACATTGTGTTCACAATTGAACTTGATTTAATAATGTCATCAGGTGATGAGCCTGTTCCTTTGATCATTGGTGGTGACTCATCTGTAACAGCCCAGATACTTGCTACCGTCCTGGGGCCGATCTCAGTGCCGTTAGTAAGTTACGTTAAAATTCCGAAGTTATTGGTAATATATATAGAACTATGAATATACAGTATATAGAAACATTTAAAAGAAAACTAAATACCAGTTACTTTGGGGAATCTGAATGAGAATAACAAATTTTCATTGAAAAAAAAAAAAGTTTTCACTTTGAATGACTTATTTTCTTAAAAGTGCTTTCAAGCATTTTACTGTATAAATAGTGGCTATGTTATGTTTTGTCACTTTTTTTCTCTTTTTCTTATTCATTTTTATATACTCACAATAAAATATAACTTTTACTGTAAAGTACAGTAATAAATGTTATTTTTTAAGTAAAAAAGAAATTAACAATTGATTGCAGCACTCTTCAGAATACATATATGTTTGTATCTGTTTTTGGCTTTTAGGTGAGCTATGCAGCAAGCTGCTCCTGCCTAAGTGACAGGCACAAGTTTCCTAACTTCTTCAGGACTATACCCAGTGATATTTACCAAGCCTGGGCCATTGCCCGGCTTGTCCTACACTTCAGTTGGACCTGGATTGGAGCAGTGGTAGCAAGCAATAATTATGGCCTAACAGCAATAAAGGTGCTTCTGTATTTGTTGTACATGAACTATTATGGCACCCACACAAGACAAAATGAATCTAATCCTTTTGTTACTTTCAAATGTATATGTCAGATATTTCAGGAGGAGATTCAGGGGGCAGGAGTGTGTCTGGCATTTGTAGAAACTCTCAACAGGGAAAACATTGTGAGTGATGCCAGACGAGCAGCCCTCACAATTCAGGCCTCGACTGCAAGAGTGGTTCTTATTGTTGCCTGGTATACAGATGTGAGGGAACTGTTTGTGCAACTAGCCAAGATAAATGTGAGAATAAACCTGTATACTGAAGTTGTAAATAACATATTTAGTGGTTTATGTTACATGTTAATATGGATTATGTAATAGAATAGAGTGTTTTGGGTTTCACTTTTAAGTTCATGTGAGCTGAACAATGGGCTTATATAATTTGGCCAAGATGTTTCCTGTTTTTTGGTACATCTCAGATATTTAAATTGGGATGATTTGTTTGAATTAATTTAGTCTGTATCACATTCTAGCCACGACACATAAATTTAAGATAAATCATAGCTTCTTAAATTTATCTTGTGATCATATTGTGCTGCTATCACTAGGTGACTGACAGACAGTTTCTGGCCAGTGAGGCTTGGAGCACCAGTGGTGACTTTCTCCAAAGTCTTGTCACAAGTCAAGTGGCAAGTGGTGTTGTTGGTGTTGCCATTAGAAGTTCAACTATACCTGGCTTTGAAAATTATATCAGAAGTCTCAACCCATCTCACCGTCCTGTTGACAAGTTCTTAAGAGAGTTTTGGGAAAAGGTGTTTGGTTGTAGTCCTGGAGCCACACCTTTATCTTCAAATGCCTCTTCACCACCTTCTCTTGCAAGCACATTGCTTCAAGAAGCTTCTCTACCTCTCTGCAATGGCACTGAGTCCCTAGAGGGAGTGCAAAATCACTTTACTGATGTCTCTCAGCTACGGGTGACATATAATGTCTACCTTGCTGTTTATGCTGCAGCCCAC